CACCGTTTAATTACGTAGAATTATAAAAGCTATATATTAAAATATATATATTAATAGATATTAATATAATATAATATATTATAAAGAAATGAAGCATATATTAATATATACTTTGTCATTTTTTTATAAACGGTTGAAAAACAATGACATTTTTTACGAGAAGAAGATTTTATTACTGATTCGTTATTTTCACTAAAGACGGACACTGAAAAATTATTCATATGTTTAACACGCTGTTATCTGTTAGTAAAACGTACTGTGAGGGTGAGAGGCTAATTAAAGCACGATGGAGTGTAGAACTCATTAAGATAAATCGGCCATCATAATACAACCAGCCGAGTGTGCGAATTAAAGATTGATTGACAATCGTGCCATGCGACTGTTGTGCACTAAATTATTCTCAATTGTTTATACATGTTCACGGTTATCGTACTGCTTGCCGTGTTTACTGATTAAATTGTTAGAGATTGTTTAACATTATGGGTTGGAGAACGCATCCAATTGTGTTATTTGACGTTGTGTCTAACGTTATCTATGATAACGTTATCTACTGGAAAAACGTCGTCAATAATATCAGGAGCGTATCCATAAACTTAATACTTTCCAGATATAACTGAAAAATGTTATATATTACATAATTAATCATGGATTAACAAATTTGTCCCTTTTTCAATGGTGTCCTGAAGTTGAAAAAGAGACTCAACTCAACAAGATATTAACGTGATCGCACCATTAATGAAATTAAATCTAGATAATGGAGATTAAGAATTAATTGTCTCCGATATTTATAATGAATGGATTCGTGGCAAATAATAATAACTTTCCTTGATTCTTCCGTTTAACAATTCCTTCAGTGATTATCGAGACACAATCTTTAGCGAAAATAAAAATTGCATAAATCGAATGACAAGAGAATGACAGAAGCGTAAACGAAGTTTCTAGATATCTAAATATCTTTTATGTTTCGTTGTCTCATTTTTTTTTGTCTTCTAGAAGCTCTGTTTACGCTTCTATCATTTTCCTCTTATATTCAACTTATAATCCAATTTTTATTTTCGCCAAGGACACATTATACTTCTATCAATATAATTTAATTTTAATCTTGATTTAATTTACTCTTTATTTTTTTTTTATCTTTAGAATTAGAAAAGAAGAAGTAAATTAAATGGAGATTCAAGTTAAAATACATATATAGAAATACATTGATAGAAACGGGCATCTGTCGCTTCTATGTCTTTCCAAGATCAGTTGCATGTTATCGTGTACATCACATGTGTCGCATTTGCATTACACGTTTATATAATTCATTGATTCTTTTCTCAATAGGCTGGCGAGGGGCCAACGCTGCGTGAATCACAATTTTTCGTCGTAGAAGGAAACCGATTGGAGGAGTCGGAGGCTCGACCGTGGATTTCCCCTTCTCGTTGTTGACAGTTAATACTCTACGTTCACCCCGAGCTGAAGACTCGAGCTGGAAACACGAACTGACGAGCAAGAGGAGTGTTCTCGTTCGTCGATGTGCGCGGATAGACACAGTGTTCAACTTCTTACTTGCATCGGCGTATTTTAACGCTAATTTTGATTAAGTAAGCCTGATTTTCGCATCTCTAATGCAGCAATAAAATTTTGCAAAGTGTCCTCGAACAAGCGGAATTCAAATTTAGCGGAAATAAACTTCAAATAGAATTTTCTTTTTAACAAACAGTTCACTGAAAGAATGATTTTGCTGAAGTATCTAAAAAGTATCTAGATCTGAAAATAATTTTGTTGGATTATCAAAATAATTACGTATGTCGCCCAGACATAAGCAATGCTACAAAAAATTGATATATTTTGATATTTTAATAACTTATAGCTTGTACATAATTATTTATTTCGATAGCTCAAAATTATTTTCTCAAATGTATTTATATATATATATATTTATATATAATTAAATTTTTAGGTACTTCATAGTAACTGTTCTTTCCGTATAGTAGTTGAAAGATCTTTGGAAATTAAATTTTTAAGTTAATAAATAATAAAATCATGAATTAAATCTCTTTTAATTCGTTTATTTTGCATATATAATATAAAATTATAAATTAAATGAGGCTTCAAATTTTATTCTGGTTTATTTTACTAATAATTCTTATTAATTTTTATGAATTTTTTTTTATTTTTTATTAATTTTTATGATTTTTTTTTATTTCTTATTAATTTTTCTTATTAATTAATTTTATAATGTAAAATTTTATTTAGATAAAGAAGCAAGTAAATTAAAATTCTTTTATTTGAGAGAAGACTTATTCTTTTTAATTTGCATTTATTTGCCACTATGATATCTACCAAAAAGATAATATTTATCTAACAATAAGATACACATATGTCATATAATATATTTCTGTTTTAAATTATTTGATATAATGGTTTGTGTTATTGAACTTAAATGTAAATTAGATGTCGTTATCGATTAATGTCGTTCTCCGAATTATAATTGAAAAAGGCCGTGAACTTTTATCACACGTTTTACAGTATGTCAAGAACATACCAAGATTACCAAGAATCATAACTAATATTCTTCAATGTCATAATTTTTAAACATCACACAACAATCATATCTTTTTACACAAAGTATTTAAGGTATTTGTTTCTCAATTCTTAGACTTGAATGAAGAACAAACGAACAATAATCAGAGGGAAGCTTGTTATCGCCTTAAAGTCGTATAGAGGCGCTCGGATTTTAATTTTCTAACTTTTGACAAGTCGAATCCTGAAACGGCAACTATCTGATCGTCGCGTCGTATTTTTCAACGAGGATTTGTAAGAATCGAAGAGAAAAATTTACCAGAGAGGAGCGACTTTGGGCTCGTCGCTAGATTTACGAGCTGATTGTTACATGCTTCGAGAAGTGATAACGAGACATTGTCGTAAGCGGCACGAGAGCAAGTCGACAGAAAAGAATTGTTAGTGGCGGTAAATTAAATCCTGCATCGCAACAATTCCTCAATCCTCGCGTGGCTTATGCTTGTAATGAAATTAGCGGTAGTGATTTATCGATAGTACTGGCAGAGGCGACAGCGACAGTAGCGACGGCAGTAATTGTTATTGAAGAGTTTATAAATCTGGGGGTTACCGCTCTCCATCGTTTCGTACTTCGTGAAAGTTTCGTGAAGCTTTCGAGCTTCCTCGTGGAAGGCTGCAAACTGATGATCAATCGCGTGGGGATGTTATGTAAGCTTATATTCGCGTTAAATAAACATATTCGACACTCCCGCGTCGGGATCAGATTTACAATGCGCTGTAATGTTGCAGTTGCGATACTCTGATTACAGAATACGATTAAATAAAGTCGAGTAAAATATTACTTATTTTTTTAAAGCAAGTTATGGTCCTTTGATTCGTCTTTGCAAACCGTTTGAATTAAAGTGTTGTTAAGAAGCATTGTTTGTTTTTGTATACATGTAATGTATTCTTTGATCATTACTGAAAATGTGAAGCAAATTCTAATTGCCAGCGTAAGGAATGTACTAGAATTAAAGTTTCTGATTTTCAAGAGATGTACGAGACGGGACATATCAATTATGCATCTCAACACATGTTGGTTTACTCAGCGCGACGTGAGGAATCCCGGTCTTTCAGGTGATCAAGTTACTTGGTCGAAGGATGCACATCAAAAGCAGCACGAGGATCATCTATGCGCGTGGTTGAGTTTGGACGAAGTGGCGAGTTACGAGGAAGATGCACGGTTGAAGACCGAGGAGCCCGAAGAGGAGGACGAGAAGGAACGCGAGGAACGGAGTTCAGGGATGTCTACGGTGTCAATTAATAAACTGCAAGTTCTATGGGATTACTTCATCCATGCCGAACCCCAAAGTTATGAGGTATTAACATGATTTCATAGAATTAATATTTTTTCTTGATTCTTGATTCTTCTACTTTCTTGATTTTTCCTTTTTTATAAATTCTGTCAGCTTTCGTTTTAACAAAATTACTATTTCCTTATAATAAGTCTGTTATGATAAAGAATCTTCTGTTCATGCATTATATGTTGACAAAACACGAAGCGCGGAAATAATTTATATTCTATCAAGTTCAACGCTGATTATATCTTAAAACTTATTACATTTATAATTGGATTGTTTTCGCGATCGAAGATGCCGCATTATGGTAGCTTACGAAAGAAATGGATGCCTTACAAGTCATGTGCGCCCTGCTTGTCAATATTTTGTGGAGGACGTGAATATAACACATCTTTTAGCTACATATACACACAACACACACAATTCATTACCTATAATAATACTGATTAAACACTTATCTTATAAATATCTGAAACACTTATCTTATAAGTGCATTATTTAATATCTCTTTCATATAATAATAGAATAAAGAAAAACTATATATAGACACATATGTTAAAGATACGTTAGGTGTATAATCTACGCAAAAGGTGATTGGAAATTTATACTTTCCATATAAAAATGAAAATGCTATATGTACGTACAAAACAGTTCAATAAAGTCAATTTATATTTAATAATATAATTTTATAATTTGAATGAAATTTTTATCATTTTATCGTAATTATTTTTTTACAAATGTCTACTTACTGAAATAATTTTTGATTCATTCTAATTCGCCGTCAAATTTCTTATTGTTTTCAAGTATAATTTTAAAAAATCTGTGAAAAAATTTTTTCATTATATTTGATTTTTATATTTAAAAAGTATGTGTAATAGATTCTTAAATGTGTTAATAAAATATGACACATATCTATTTTTATAATCTAATTTCCTCTATGTTGAAATTAATTTAGATTATTTATCATTGGAAAATGGTTATTTCCATCATGAATCACTATATGTGATTGCACGTCTACATAAACAGATTATTCGTCATGCACATACATTAAAATATCGCTAAACTATAATTCCTATTTCTGTTGACGAAGAGTAACGAAAATTCGGAATGCTCCAGTTTCATATCTAAAATTTTTGATTAAATTGAGAACACAAGTATAGCGTGCCGCAAGTATGTCACTTTAATGCTTAATCTTTATGTTTTTCATTTTATGTCCGCTAAAATATTGATTACTATATCGCACAGATATATGAGCAAATTATTATCGTTGTTAACTTAAGCAAACAATAAACAAAATCTCTTTGGTCCCGCTGATCCTTCTTATCTCTGAGCTTAGTTGCCTATCTATTAATTTCCCCTTTGAAGCGATATTTTAATGTAACTTTTGTTTTTTCTTATCAACCATATCTTTCAAATTACCAAACTCACGTTTTACGAATTAAGAATTATTATCGAGGTATTAATTGCGTTCTATGAAATATAATTGTATACATATATATATAT